GGGGGGAGGGGGGACCGTTGTACTGTGACAAATGGCGAGAAAAAACAGGAAAGTGCTAAATGTATTTAAATTGAAAAAATAAATCTTTCACTTGTTAGTCTTCACAACTTTTAAAAATACAAAAAAGAAACAAAACCTCGACTAAGTAAAACGTATTGGTCACCCATCCAAATACTAACCCCACTAACCGGGCTTGACTCAGTAGTGTTCTTGAAGCCCAAGCTTTTTTCCACTGGACCACGGTTTCAGGCGAATCAGCATAACAATAGCCGTGAAAACAATGCACCGAATAGACTAGACTTTTTAACATAAAATTTTTAACCGATTCCGTGCGTGGCAGAGATGCAAGGGATTAGCCGATATGGTCTGGGGGCCGGCTAGTCTCTCCCCTGATGCTTCGGCTAGAACATTTTCTTGCGTAATTCGTACACCCAAGGGCAGAAGGATTTAATCGCCGTCAGGTCCGAAGTCCATACGACGCCTCAGCTCTGCGGATGTCTCGGGGGTATGGCAAAGTAGAATCGATTTTTTTCTTTTTTTTTCGGTGGACGTGGGCTCGAATATTATCTTATTATGACACTTTTTTTTCCTTCAAATTTTGAGTGGGTTCAAACCTTCAACATTGTTTTAGTCCACTTGATTTTTCAGGGTTTTTCTTTATATTTATTTAGATATTTTTTGTTACATGATCTACTTACTGTGTACCCAAAAGGGTGTTACCAAACCCCCACAAAGAAGGTTTTGTAACTTGCCAGTAAAAGGAATTAATCGATCATTTAACAAGCATCCGTCCAGGATCAGGAAGCCCCCCAATAAATGCAAATGGTACAATTAAGACTCGAGCGTATTTCACTGCCTTTCGGTGCAAGTGAGCGCAGTCGCAGTGAACTGATTCGAGAATACAGAACAGGATCTTCATCAAGCATTAATCTCACCTGGCCTTTTCGGCTGAGCCTTGATGAAGGAGAAGTATAGAGAAATATACAGTAAAGATAATCATTTTTTCTGAAAATATAATGAAATAAATACAACATTAGGGGTTATGACGAATCGCTGTATCAAACCCTGTTAGCGGTTAACCATCCGATATTGATATTTAATGAAGTAATATACGAAAGAGGCATTTTTTACATTGAAAAAGAAAGAAAACGAAAAGAAAAAAGGGAACCAGCGAAATAAATTATGAAAAGAAAGCCAGATGTTTCTTAAAATACTTATATTTATACGTATATGTACAAAATAGTAAAGCTACTATATTGATATATGAGGAATTGTCTTGTGTACTCAGGTCAGCGATATTTCTGATATTATCGACCTTGCTACAGGTCAGCTGGAATAACGGGTTTCTATCATCATTTGCTGTTCCGTTATGGTATAGGGTCTCCGTGGTAGGTGCACATTATCAGTATTACTGCGCGATATCGTAAACCGTTCAAATAAACAGCTTCTAGCACGGAGACCTTTTATTTGCAGCTGAAAAGGATTCAGCATTTTGTCCTGCCCCACAGTAAGGCCAAAGAAAGAGATAGATAATGATTGTTAAGAGATTCCCCGTTAATAACTAGGCGTTACCATTCTCACCTTACTTGCCGATAGATAGACTATGAAGAAAGCGAATGGCTTCCTCTCTCAGCTTGATGTAACTACCACTCAATGCAGGATCTTGATCAGTTAGTTCGAGGTTGAGTTGGGAGTCAATGTGCTGTAGTAAACGTCAGTAATACATACATACATACCCTACCTGGTGCACCTGTCATGCGGTATGTTACGATTTCTTTACTCAAATTGGACTAAATTGGATTTGCTTACCAACAATCCAAATCCCTTAACCGCTATTCTCACATTGTTATAATACTGATTTGATTTGAAGGGTGTTACGCGTCGACGACTACCTTATTTGGTTATAAATCTATTTTTGTCTGTACATGGGCATTGTTCGGCTCTCAGTCAATCGATGTGGCGCACATTACGTGGCTAGGTATCTACTCTTGCCCAACCCCTCCCCTTTCAAAGCTGTTCTCTTATATGTGTGAATATATTGATCTGTGTGCCAAGTGTTTCATGGAACAGCACTAATGATAAACAACTAGTTATTCCTCATCTATACGTGTTTTATTGATTTTGAGTCCTATTTTGTTACAAATCTTCTAACATCATGGCAGCATTGCTTGTGTTCGCAACTAACAAGTAGATCAATCAACCTGCCTTGATTAGATGTACGGCTTATCTACAATATTATCATAGAATTGGTCACGTGACAAACACTAGACCGAAAACAGTGAAAATAGTGTTAAGAGTTTTGATTGGCTGCGTCAGACAATGCTGTATCCAGGCCGTAGAACTTGCTGTTGAGTATATATACTAACTGATTGATTTACAATATTTTTTCCCTCTTCCAAATCAGCACCAACCACTTTTGCCAAGCGTATCCCGGCAGTCAGCTCAGCCATAATGACTTTTCTCTATACCACTCTACTAAAAAACCAAATGTAATAATCATAGTGTTGTCACAGCTCGATAGTCCCTAATTTAAAGGATCAAGATAAATGTTTATGGCAGACTGGTTATAGCTAAGCTAACAGATGGAATATGAATTACATCAAGCCATTAATATAAAAATCCCAAGATTGCATTAGTCAGGGAACATTTGTAGAGCTTTTCAGCTGGTATTTTTGACTGAAGGAGTCAGGTACTGAATTCAACCTTTTTCTTTTCTTTCTCGACTCATTGAAAGTTCTTCTACTCATCACTTAAAAAAAGGTTGGCCCAATAAACAATGTTAAAGAAAATGAATGCAAGAGGATACATGATCCTGCAGCATTTGTTCGTGACGATACTGATATCTACTTTCTCTTGTTTGATTGGCTCGTGACAGGTCAGTGGTAGACAACAATTCTTAAGGGTATTCTTGATGTACTGATTGGCTTTCTCCTCTTCGTACGACACAACATGGATGCTACCATCACCCTCTGCTACGTAGGCTGGTTTGAAACCATGTTTGCAGTGAAATGAGATATGCTTTCTCTGTTAAATGTGAAAGGAAAAATAACCGAATGAGCGTCATAATACATTATAGGATTTAAAAATTCTCCAAACATTCCTCTCCTCCCCCCCCCCCCCCCCCCCCCCCCCCCNNNNCCCCCCCACTTCCCCCACTCAAGGGAAGATATCAATTGTTAGAGAGATATTGGTATTAAGAGATTACCTGGGGTAATGTGATTATTATTTGGCATTTAGGAGGTTCTTATTTTCCTGTAATAAGGCTTTCTTTTGCGGTTAACCTCAAGTAACCTGCATGTTTGATCATCATCTGCTTCTCAAATAAGACTCACCTCTTTGTCGTTTTTGCCAAGCCGTCTTGAATCGGCACTTCTACTGAACCGGTAAATGAGTAAATCAGTGACGAGAGTGGAAAACACGAACATGAATGAACCAATAAGATACCAGTCGATTGCCTTGGCATAACTGACTCGGGGCATTGTCGAGTTACTCGAGCCCAGCAGAAACACAATCGTAAGGACTGTTGTTATCCCGAGGGATACCCGCTCGCCAATGTAATATCGATCCATCCAGAATGATATCCAACTCAGCGTTACCATAACAATACAAGGAATGTAGAATTGTATAAAGTAAAAGCCCATCCGTCGATGAAAGGTGAAAGTGACCACCAAGTTCTTGTATACTCCTGAATCAGTTCAAGGTTGAAATACCTTTTATTAAAAAAATTAAATATGACTAGAGAAGAATAGATATGGGAAAAGTGGCTTGCTCACCAGATACATAAGTAGTATTGCTCTCTAGAATCTCGTACTTGACCACGTCAAACTCCGCCAGATCTCGATTGAATATGCGCACAGGAGTGTCTTGCTTCCATTTAAAATTCATCTGACCAACAGTGTACGCGACTACAAGTGGAGCAATAAACATATGTTACTAAGGCGACAATTGTTATGATTATGATCATGATAAGAGTTACCTAGGCAACAGTTGTTATGGTGATTATGATCATGATAATAGTTACTAAGGCAACAGTTGTTATGGTGATTATGATCATGATAATAGTTACTAAGGCGACAGTCGTTATGGTGATTATGATCATGATAATAGTTACTAAGGCAACCGTTGTTATGGTGATTATGATCATGATAATAGTTACTAAGGCGACAGTTGTTATGGTGATTATGATCCTAATAATAGTTACTAAGGCAACAGTTGTTATGGTGATTATGATCCTAATAATAGTTACTAAGGCAACAGTTGTTATGGTGATTATGATCATGATAATAGTTACTACGGCGACGATTGTAATGGTGATCATGATCATATGATAATAGTTACCAAGGCGACGGTTGCTATGGTGATTATGATCATGATGATAGTTACTAAGGCAACAGTTGCTATGGTGATTATGATCATGATGATGGATTTTACTTACAGCTTTCGAGGATAAGTGAACATTTTTGTACATCAAGAGGGAAGTTTACAAGGTTCATCTGACAAGCTCCCTTGATCTTAATTCTTCCACTGTAATAAATATCGCCATTACCCGAGATAAGCACCAGTTTGTTCACAGTATACACTTCATACTCATTAGCGTTGTTGAAGTATGTATCGGGTGTCCAGATGTCATTCACTCTTTCTTTCGTCAACGATAACTTGGCTTCATTTTGGTGAGCCAGGCGAGGATCGTTCCATTCTTGTCGTAGATACATAAACACTTCAAAGTCCTAAACACGACAATCTATCAGTTCATTACCATGGACGGTTTGTTAGGTAAGTATGTACATAAACACTT